AGAATTTATTAAGGTCTAAGATTTTCTATTAGTAACCATGTTGACTATCCTAATAAAATTCTAAACTTTGTTAAATGACTTTGCAAAGTATCTTTTATCGAACTTTCCAAAACTTTTCCCACAACTGATGCAAGACTAATGGATCTATATTACTGGGCCAATTTTTATCACCTCCCTTGAAATGAGGAGTTACATTAGCTAACTTCCAATCCTCTAGTACCTGCCCACCATTCAAGGACTGACAAAAATAGTAGTAGGTGTCTCACATATCCAATCTTTAACATCCTTCAAAACCCTTAGGGAAATATTATCTGGCATGGGAGAATTATCATCCTTTAAACTTCCCAATTTTTTTTTAAACAGAACAAAATTAATGCATATAGTTTCCATGTGTCAACTGTTCAAGATGTGAAATACTGCTTAAATTTTCATCAGAAAAACTTGAAAAAAAGGTAGAATTTAATCAGCCAGCTATCTCATAATCATCCTAACATTTTGCTTACCCTTAATATATTTAATGAAATCCTTTCTGATGTCCTAATTTCCTGTACAACTTTCTTGATCTTCTAAGTCTCCTGTCATACCAGTCAAATTAAATTTCTTAAATTTATGATGCTTTTTTTTAATTTCATCTCTTATACTCTGTGAGTCAACCTGGTTTTTACTTGCCATTACCACTTTCTTTCTATAAGGAATATATTTACATTGAATATTTAAAAATCAGTCTCCAAATAACCGAGCTTCCCAATTCACAACAATTAATTCTTGTCACATCCCTTCTAAATTTGTTACAAAACATCATTATTCCTTATCTTCATATGAAGCAAAATATTGAACCTAATAGAACAATGATCACTTGTACCCAGATTTTCCCCAATTTCCACCCTCTCAATCATTTCTGTATTTGAAGTTAGCAGTAAATCTAAAATAGCATTGTTTCTAGTAGGTTCCTTGACTAATTGGTGAAGATAATCATCTTGAACAATTTCCAAAAACCTTTCTCCCTCACGGTTTGATTCTATCTAATTTCCGAATCAGTACGTCTGAAATTAAAATCACCCATAATTATGACTTCATTAACAGCTGAAATCTTAATCTCATTGTAAAGTTTCTCACTAATTTCATCAGTAACAGATTCCCACTAAAAGCCCTTTCCCTTTATATCCACTAATAGAAACCCAAATGTATTCAATTCCTTGCTATTATCTTTGATATCCTCAACTTCAACATGACTTAACTCACATTTTACATATAAAGCCACTCCTCCCCTTTTTAATACTCTCTCTATTAAATAGCCTGTAACCCTGTATTTCAAAGAATTTTCTGTCATTAAAACCATCTATGCTTAACCATGTTTCAGTTATTCCCATTATATCAGAATCCTTTATTCTTACCAGTGCTCTAATGTCATCTATTTTATTTATGTTTCTAGCATTACAATAGTGACAATTAAGCCTATCCTTAGAACTACTTCTATACTTAGTTCCTAAATTTTTCTCTGCTTCTTATTCTTTTTGCATTTAGTTTATCCTGGCCCTCACCACTTTATATTCCTAGTTTAAACTTCCCTTACAGCTGAGTTAATAGCCATAGCAAACAAGCCAGCCCCTATCTTATTTAAATGTAAACCATCCATTGCAAAAAAAGCTCCCTTCTTCTACTGAATCGATCCCACAAGTCCAACCACCCAATCTGCTCATCTTTACATACTAACCCAAGCCTAGCATTCAGCCCTAGTGACCTACTTATAACTTCATCCCCCAGTTAATTCTGGACAGTATCCCTGACAAAATTAAGTTATAGCCATTTTCTTTAAATGCCTTTATCAACCCCTTGTACATATTAATTAACTCCTCTGACCAACCTTTTCCTACATCATTAGCCCCTATATGCACCACAAAAATTACATATCTGCTATCCCCTTTTATTATCTCCTGCTCTGTCAGTTATATCCTCCAACTGTGCCCCTGGGTAGCATAATCTGGTTCTTTTCTCCCTATTTACCACACAGACTATTCTATCCACATGCCTTGTCAAAGAATCACCTATGACTATAACCTCTTTATCATCCATATCCTTCTCTGACCCTTTTGTTTTCCTTCACTCTAATAGTTCCTCGTCTACAGAAGCTAAAGGCTGAAATTTGTTGCTCAACAGAATTGGCTCATTACAATTAAATACAATATTTTTAACATTAGCCCTAATAGTACTCTTTCTAACTTCCTGAAAGTCATTGTTAGCTGATGTATTCCTTGTATGTAATTGCTTAAGCTCCTCTTGAAATCCTGCTGCCATTTTGCAGTCTACACTTCTCTTTATCAATTGCCTCTACTTTTATTATGATAGCCTTCAACTTCTCCAATTTACAAACTCTACATCTTCATTACTAGCTTCCTTAAAAGTATATGCAAGACCCGAGTTCCCAAATAAAACATACTACCACTACTAACAGTCAATGTGATGTCAAGTTATCAGACATAAATCATACTAACAGTCATAAAAAACATGGTATCGGGTTATCAGACATATAAACTACACTACCCTCGCATACCAACAATCAGCATGATGTCAACTTATCAAATATATAAATCACACCACTCTCACATACTAAGAATAATGAGAAATGTGGTGTCAAGTTATCAGATATCATAAGACATACTTATACTTTCAAAGGACACTTGAAGGTAGATTTTTTTTTTGCTAGTTTAGTTTGATTTTCAGCACTATATCCGAGACGGCACCCAGTAACAGGTATATACTTATCAAATATATAAATCACACCACTCTCACATACTAAGAATAATGAGAAATGTGGTGTCAAGTTATCAGATATCATAAGACATACTTATACTTTCAAAGGACACTTGAAGGTAGATTTTTTTTTTGCTAGTTTAGTTTGATTTTCAGCACTATATCCGAGACGGCACCCAGTAACAGGTATATACCATCGCTGCTTCTTCCATACCAATAATACATTTGCCAAGTTCCAGGTACTTTATCAAACATGTGGGTCCAGTGAGTCAATGAATGCATGTGTGCCAAATGGTTGTTTTCAAATAATGTAATATTCTGTAATTTTAAATGTATTTTTCTCAGTAAACTTTCTACGGTATGTTTAACAGAAAACTTTGGATGAATAGTTTTTACTTTAATTGGTGAAATATAACCAATGGTGAAAATCTTCACCTTTTATTCCTGTAAAACTTGGTGTTGGAAATTAGTAACATTAGAAAATAAGTAGCACCTTTAACACACACCAAAACTAAGCTGTGATTATTATAGATCCTCACTACTCAACTTTTTGGATTAATAACTGAATTTGTTGTAATTGTTTATATTCAAAACCTTAATATTAAGAGTGAAACACTTATCATAAACCAAACAAAGCAACTGGTTTTCTTTTATTTGAAATTATGTCTCAGAGTAAAATTACAAGACATAATGCAACTAATGATGCTATGATACGCCCAACTTGTAAAATTTATCATTGTTAGCAAAATTAGCACAGTTTGCTTTGATCTTACAAGTTACATCATAGTCTAATTACAGGATCATTAAATTAACAATCCCATAGTTACTTTCATATAATACAGAATTACAGCTAAAAAAATTAAGATATTTGATAGGGGAACCAGATGGAGGTTACTAATATCACACCTACACTCAAACGTGTTTAAAAACAAATAAATGTACAACACAAAATACTTCATTTCCCAATAGAATAATCCCTCTTGAATACACTAATGATGTGTGGTAAATATTCCTAGGTATATGAAACAGCTACCAACACTTTTCCAATATCATTATCTGGAAGTTTGATAATTACACCACTTCTAGCTTAGTTAACAGAGGTTTGTGTACGTAAATATTAGTTTTTCTCTTTCAAAGAAATCAATAAAATCAACAGTCATACATATTATATCAAATATTTCTATGTCTCATTTTCTTCAGACAATACACTTTCAGAAGTTATAGAAGATTATTAAACTGTAATAAGTACATAAATAACCTCATCCTATAGTCCTCTAACGGTAATTGAAGAAATAGAACTTGAAAAAAAAGTACAAGACTGAATTCATTAGAAATAGCATCTGAATGATGATTTTAATTGTAGATGTACATTAATAATAACAGTTCATCCCAGTTATATCAGTAGCATTACATATTTTCTCTTAAAAACAAGCCATCACTGGAAATATCATTATTTAACTTCACACAACTCATCAGATGTGCTTTATCCACTAAAGAAATAATCAAAAGCTACTCCACAATCCCTGTCCCACCTCAGGCTAATTGTTATAAATAGTTAGAAGTATCTCTTAGGGAGTGGTTCAAAGGATTGTGCAATTTTGGGGGATAGCCAGTAGAAAGTAACAAGTTTGCATTGTGAGTTTAACTAGGCCTATTGACACCTATAGCTGTTCCTGTTGTCATTCACTGCTATCATCTGTTGACCTTGTAAAGAATGTACATTATGAATTAAATACAATTTTATACAATCATAAACATTAATTAGCTTTTGAAACTTTAATACAAAATCTGCACAAAATCCAGTGCCTTAACCACCACATGAAGAAATGCAAAGAAGATGAAAGATAAATTATATACAAAAAGGACAAGTAGTTTTGTGGTATGTTATGCAGAAGTGTAATTTGTACTGTTTGTAATTACAAAAAAAATTATATAATGCTAAATTTTACAAACTATTTATAAAATATCAAGTTCTTTTGGTTTTGACAACACTGTTTTATGCTACTGAAAAATATAGAATACAGACTAATCATTAGCATAGTAAATACACAAATGTAATGTTGTAACTGGGTATTTTTTTGTTGAAAAGTATACACATTTGTAATGTTTTAAGGTTTTATTAATCAGTGATGAAAACAGCATATGAAACTTTTGGTTCATACTGGGTTCCAACCTATAAATGCTGAGGGCCAGGAGATGTCTAGTCCCCTGGAAGACAGAAGGGTTCTACATGCTCTCTGGTGTATTCTGGGCCATTTTGGAACAATAAATACACTATTTATTACTAGTATGATTATTAAACAAACATTTGCTGCTTTAACTCGTGTCCAGCCAATATAAAAAGTGGTCATTTCATGAGACATTAGTGAACTGTACAGAAGTTTTTACTAGGGCAAATTACTGACCAATCATTTACAAACCAGGTCTTATAAGAGGCAGATATAATATTATGTTCATTGACCAATTTCTTATGTGTACGAAATTCTTCAGTCCCACAATTTCACCCCTCCCTAGTGTAACATAGCTTATTAGGCTAAAAATAATATCTGAATTTGTGAAATTTAATATGTTTGTAATGTTCTGACGTGCAACAAAAGTTTCTTAATTACTGAAAGCAATTTTGAAACATTTTTTCAGATACCTTCTCTCCTCAGCTTTTATAAGATCATGTATATCTCTCTTAAATTTAGGCTTCATCTCCGTGACTTTACATATAAAAGTAATGTCAGATGAAAGAAAAATGTCAAACTAATTTTAAACAAATGGGTGAAAGGCACACACAATTAAGGAAGATAGCGAAAAATAAGCCCAATTTGTCTATGGCTCCAGCATCCTCTCTCTCTCTCTCCATTAATTTTCTCACCAATTTGAACAAGATGATGAATGGCCAAAACTTGCCAATGCTCATCCCTGATTTTTAAGGCTTTACAATGTTGAATAAATCATGGAATTAACAAAACTTTAATGTGTTATAATAGTGGACAATAACATAATTATGCTACTTCTAGGAATAAGTAAAATACTATTGTTAAAAACAATTATACCATATAACAAAACAATGTAAAACAGGTTAGAAACAGAGGCACACATCAGAAAAATTTAGAAAAGAAACACTATACAAAATGACTGATGGTCAAACACGGGTATCAGAATTATAAGTTTGTCGTGAGTTTGAACCCCACAACAGCAGTAAACTGGTAAGTTTTGTATTATGCAAACATTTATATTAGAAATGGTGAAAATAAGGAGGTAGACCTGAGAAAATTATTAATACAGATGAATCAATAATAGGAAAATGGAAATACCCCAGGGTTAATGTATGTTTTTTGTTCCAGCAGAAAGAAGTGATTCTGTCACATTGGATGGCCTCATTAAAGGATGATTTTACCAGTAATGATGAAACATTCAAACTGTTGAAAAGCTTATGATTGTCTTTCAAAGAAAGGATATAATCATTTGACAGTAAACCATTTATTTGAATTGCAGGCTCCTAATCATGGAACTATGAAGACAATCTATTCATCTTGTTTTAGTTCAATACCTGTGGCAAAGACATAATCATGATAATTAGGGTCTTTTTCTTAAGTTTTGCTCAGACACTGGCACATCTGATGGTAGTAGCAGTATCAATTGTAGACTAGCCTAGTGTTACAAGGATTGTGCAATCAGACCAAAAAACTCCACAACACTGGTACATCTGGTGGTAATATCACTATTAATTGTAGACTACCCTAGATTTTCAGGGATTATGGAATCAGACCAAACCCCATAATACTGGTGGAAAGAGAAACATAAAAACTAAATCATTTTGGACAGTTATAAAAAAATAATATAAGGTAACAAAAGTATGGTTGGTGTTGGAAAGCACAAAAACAAAAGATGTAGAAATTATTTTAGTGATAAGTCTTACTTAAAAGAAGTTCAAATACATTAAGCCAATAGATAAATTGACATATATATATATATATATACACACACACACAATGGGATGCTTAAAATGGTAACTGAAATATTAATAAAACTGTTTCACTTGATTTAATTGCTCAAATATACACCACACTTTCCCTTCTTGTGGAACAGTCACTTTCCTTAAGAGATTTTATCTACTTCCCAAATAAAGACAAAAGATAAAATTTCTTCCATATATTAGTATATTAATCAAAATATTTCATTCTCCCACTTCTATATATATTATATACTATATCCAACATTCAAGTATGTTTATTCCTTCCCTAAAAAAATATGTTCTTCTTGAATGCCAAAATACTCTAACATTTTGAATTACAGAAACTGTTCTGAAGAATATGTTATTTGTCACAACCAACAACTTTAGATGTGATACAGGAGTTCACTTTCCAATCAAACAAGATTCTGTAGTGTCACTTCTTATCAGTCTTCCTCTTAGCTCGAGCTCCTTTACTGTTCTCTGTAGATGATTCGCCTTCTTTTGTGCTATTTGTAGGGATGGAAAATGAACCAAGTTCCTGACTAGAAGATGATGCCAAATCTGGAAGCTCCTGTGGGCTATAGGATTCCTTCAAAATGTACTTATACAACTGGGTATACTTGTCCTGAGCTAATTGGTGAAAATTCAACATTCTTTGATGTACTGTCTCCAGTTCCAGTTTTTCTTCCTGCAGCACATTCAGTTCCTTTTCAAGATCCATGACCTGGTCCATCTTTCTTTTCCGACAGTTCTGGGCAGCTACCTTTGAAGAAAATATACTACCATGAAGATTATCTTTAAAAAAAACCTAAATTACTGTTAAAGAATATCATGTTTGAAACACTATACACTAGAAAAAAACTTTAGTTGTGAAACCAAGTTATGAAAATTAAATACTGTGGTTTAAAACATAAATGATTAACTGTGGGAAGGTATCACTTTCTTACAAAACTATGTTGAGAGAAACCAAATAATTTAAGTATTTACAAATTCCGACAAAACTTCTTAACTGGTGCTTTCTGTTCAATTTTCAGCAATAACACTTCAACCTTCTGTAGAACAGGCACTCACTAAAAGTTGACGTTATAATAAAATAATAATGAGAAGATACTGTTTAAAGCAGTATTTCTCAACCTTTTTGGCCCAAAGCACACTAAATATAACTTGAAATATTAAGGCACACCAAAAGATATAGCAACACAAACATTTATTTAGAATTTTAGATTACACATTTATTATTCATTATAATTAGTGGGATATTTGAGTCTGCTTTTCTGCACATAGACGCTCGATAGTGCTTATGGCTACTCAAAGCTCTTGATCGACTGAGCTCAAATGTTCCCTTTTGTTGTTCTTTACAACAGTTAATCTTGAAAATCCCAACTCACACAGGTATGTAGAACAAAAGGGTACTAAAACTTGTATTGTTTGAGAGCCAAGGTATTGCCTCTCCACAAGCAACCAGAACTTCCCCAATGTCATTTCAGAAAATTTCATTTTTCAGTTTCTGTCCATACTTATTTCTGCCAATTCTGTCTGTTCTTGTACTCCTAACTTTTTCAGCACTTTTACATGATGCAAACGGATTTCTGATCCAGTGTAACTAATTAATTATTATGTATTTATTTTTAATATGAACGTTGTTTGGATTGAATTAGTATTTAGAAATAGGCGTGACTTGTAATATG